GTTTCTCAACTATCTGTCAGTTAACTTAAATATGATGAAATAAACAGTTTGTCGCGAAGATGTTTGACGTCTCGACACTATCTTTGACATAACGGTACTGTTATGAAAGGTGTGGCTAATTCGGGCGTGGCAGTCGTCCTTGGACACGCGGCATTGGGACGTCTTTCGGCTTCCTGGCGTTAATTTCTTCCTCGTTCAGCGGGAAGGAGAAATGGTAACGTTTTGCAACCGGCAACGAAAGCCGCTTCCTTTCGGCTTGCCTTGAAATTTTTGAAATTCGAACAGACACCGTCGCGCATATCAGCGCGTGGCAATGCTGGAAGTAGTTCGAGGAGGGTTCTTCCTGAGAAAGCTCTAGGCTAACAAATGTAAAGTCTTATTCCATAATGCGTCACTATGTAAAATACGACACATAAACAGGGTGTTCGGCTACTCGTGCTACAAACTTAGATTCTTCATTTAAAATGGAACCAAAAAGTCCTAATTAACTATGGTACGAATCTCAGCAGTTTCGGAGTTTCCACTTTTCCTGATTTTTGAAGATTTTACGACCTTGCTTCAAATAAACAATGATAACTCCTAAATTAAAAGGTTTTGGATAAATCCGTTTATACCACTGAAAACTACGTTAAATTTCCAATAAGATGTGATCAGTACTAAAGTGATAAGTTGATGAAATAAGCGTTTTATTAGCCAGAACTTTGAAAAATACTTTTTACTATTTCCTTTGTACTGGAGTATTTGCTTTTTTAATTACTTTTTTCAAAGATAAAGAAATAGATGAAGGAAAGGAAAAAACCGTGGTGAAATAAGCGTTTTAGTAGTCAGAACTTTGAAAAATATTTTTTTTCTATTTGAAAAACGTAGTATGGTGATTTTAAGCTACTATTTCCAAACCTAGAGACCAACAAATTTCAGCAAACGTACTCCACTCAATACCCTTTCTAGTGGTGCAATTGCTTTTTTAATTACTCTTTTTCAAAGATGAAGAAATTGACGAAGGAAAGGAAAAAAACCGTGGTTGAAGGATTGCTAAGGTGGAAAAATTAAAAAAAAGTAGCCTTAGTTTTACCATAGATAACTAAAAACGTTTTGTATCTTAAAACTCTTTTATTCCGGGGAATAAGAATACAATAATCCTTAAAGTAAAGTTGCAATCGTCTTGGTAAATAAATAAACTCGTGCACTATTTCAGTTGCGAACCCAAATTAAAAAACGTTCAATAAATTCATTCAATATTTCCTTAAGTTTTTTAAATCTTCCACCTTACCAATCCGTCAACCACGGTTTTTTTCCTTTCCTTCATCAATTTCTTTATCTTTGAAAAAAGTAATTAAAAAAGCAAACACTCCACTACAAAGGAAAAAGTAAAAAATAATTTTTCAAAGTTCTAGCTACTAAAACGCTTATTTCACCAACTTATCAGCTTTAGTATTGATCACATCTTATTGAAAATTCAACGTAGTTCTCAATGGTACCAACGGATTTGTCCAAAATCTTTTAGTTTTGGAGTTATCATTGTTTTTTTGAAGCAAGGTCGTGAAATCTAAAAAAATCAGAAAATGTGGAATAAACTGCTGAGATTCGGTTCATAATTATTTAGGACTTTTTGGTTCCAGTTTGATTGTAGAATCTACTGGCAAAGTTTGTAATACAAGTAGCTGAACACCCTGTATATGTACATATAGGGTGTTCTTTTTGATGGCACGGCTGAATTTCTCTTGAACCAATGACGCTATAAAAAAATTATAATTTTTTAGTCTAGATTCAATTTTTTTTTACATTTTTTCGAAAAAAATTATACAGGGTCCACAGGTCTAATTCAACTTAAAAATTTCAAATATGACGCTATACATCGTATCGCATCATTTTAAAGCACCTTTTCACGCTGAAAACAATGGTGCAGTCGGATTGATCAAATTGATCAAATCTCTGATTAAATTGATCAAAAAATTTCAAAGGGCAAAAAGTAATTTGGTTTGTTATTTATTAATCACTTTTCATGTTCGAACTTACTGCGTAAAGATGCAAAAATTTGCTCTTTTTAACCACTCTTCGTCGGTGCTCAGAGCGATAGAGTTGGGGGAGATGGATTGACAAGTATTTTCTATCCTTTGTCGCACTTCTTCAACTGAGGTTGGTTGGTTATGATTGGCGTAGACCTGTTGTTTTAAATGGCCCCACAGAAAATAATCAAGTGGAGTTAAATCGGGACCGAGGAGGCCAACAGATCGGTCCATGAGGTCCTATCCATCTTTCCGGAAGTGAGGATTCAAATAAAGTCTCATCTGCAAAGAATGGAGTGCCGGGCATCCATAAAGTTGGAGAATCATTCTATGACGTTGTTGCAGAGGAACATCGTCTAATAATGTTGGTAAAACCTCCCTCAAAAAATTGAGGTACCGAGCATCATTTAAATTATTTTCGTAGAAATAAAGCCTAATTAATTTATTTCCGCGAAGTCCACACCAAACATTGATACTGTGAACCACCTTATGATGAAAAGAGTACAAAATTTTCGGATTTTCCTCTGCCCAAGTTCGAAAATTACAACGGTTTAGTGTGCCATCAGTCCATAGGATGATGGAAAAACGTTTTCTTTAGCCTCCCAAATCGACATTTGTGCAAGGAACGTTAGACGCCCGTCATAATCAGAGTCTCGAAGTCGATGGGCAAGATGAGGGCGATACGGCTTAAAATTGTAAGTCCAGAGTACATCTCTATTTTTTTTTAAACCTACAACCCTTTCAGCTCTTCCTCAATATTAGCAACTGGTCCGTATCTCCTCATATTGCGAGCAACACGAATAAACGTTTTGTGGTTTACTCTGAGGCGATCAGGCAATTTCCGGGAGTACAACCCGACTGCAGACGCGCAATACCACCATCAATAAATCATATAAACTCGCTGTTGAACAGAAAAATGTTCTCTTCGAATTATTTCTTTATTATTTGATTAATTAATTTATTTCCAGGAATTAAGATTTACTCTCATAATGCGAGTTTGACAAACAATGACCGAATGACAATAAAGGCGTTTACTTTAGTGAAGAAGCACATTATTGGAATTAACAACGAAATGGGATTTTTCAAACTTTTAAACTTTCATTTTTTGACCAATTTAAAATCCGATTGCATCAGTGTTATCAGAGTAAATATTCTTTTCAAATGATTTGCCAAGGTGTATAGGGTCGTATTTGAAATTTTGAAGTTGAACTGGGCTTTAGGTGCCCAAAAAAGGTAAAAAAATGAAACTAGACGAAAAAGTATTAAACACATTTTTTTCATATTGCCTTTTGTCCAAGAGTAATGCAGCAGGGCCATCTAAAAAGGACACCCTGTATATAATGAATCAGAAGCAAACAAAATCTCTATACATCTCTCCCTCCTCACTCTCTTTCAACAAATTATCGAACAAAGAGTTACACTTGTTTAATTAGGACAATTTGTATTGATCTGAGTTAAATGTATAGATAATAAACTAATAAATAAATCCTGTAACATCCCCCCAAAAGAGCCACCATATCCATAACTTATTTAATCTATCCTCTTCTTCGTACGTACTTCCCTATAGTTTGGACACATTCCTAAAACCAAAATAACCAACACATTGTAATTTATATAGACCAATAAATGTACTACCAACTTGAGAAAGACTTCCTTTAAAAAGAATTCTTCTACTCTAAATTCATAAAATATAATTCCTGACTATCGATTTGGTTTCGAGCCTGCCACTCAACATCATCGCGGCGTAGACATCTCCTCCCTTGAGATGGGAAAGTGCTGTTACCGTGCTTTTGTTGACGTACGCCAAGTTTTTGATCGAGTTTGACTCCCGGGATTGTTATTCATATTTAAGTCATATTTTTTTTCAACCTGTTTCATCCTTCACAGTTTATTGATGGGTTTTTCCGAATTGTTAAAGAATTAAAGGCTATTCCTCCTAGGCATATAGGCCTATCCATGCTGGTATTCTTCTGGGCAGTAATAATTCCATGCTGTTATAAGTATACAAAGTTGACATTCCATCTCATGCATATACAACCATTCTTACAAAAAACCTTGATTTTTTAAAGAAAAATTAACACGATACACGTATTCTAATAGGTTTAACGTTTTGTATATTCAATAATATGCAAAACAATAAAGTGTTGTTGAATTTTTTTTTGTACATATGTATATTGTTTAACACCCTCTTTAAATCGAATATTCCGTAATCCGAATAATAATCCTGCAGCAATTAGTTCGGGTTATTGAGAGAGACATACAAATCACCGTATTCATTATTTTAATATTTTTCTTTTTAAATATCAAATTTGAAAGTTGGTATTTAAATTCGCATCCGGGAAACGTTTTTTAAATTGTAATTATACGATGGAAAATATTGGAGGTTGGACGCAGTCATTTCCCCTTTCACTTCCAATTAAAGGAAAAAATGAATCGGTCTTGTTTTCCCATGTATGTGTCATTTAAAAATAAATTAATCGAAAATCCCGCTATTTTAGCCTTGATAATATCTCAAACGAAGGACATACGACTTGTGTAAAATCACAATGATACAAAATTGTTTATACATATTACAAGAATTAAGATAATAATATTATAAACCTTTACGTATTTAATTTGTAATTTGACCAATAATTTTTAAAAATAGAAACAACATTAATGTCAAAAATAACAAGAAGTAATTTGTATATCATTGTGTTTAATAAATGTACTTGCTCGCTTTATTACAAGGACAAGTAATACTAATTTTGGATCAAGTGTGAATGGACTAAAATACTTGATGAGCTTGAGCTTAAATTCCATTGCAAATTCAAATTATTAATTATTTCTATTATCATAATCACTTTACTTTACTAATAAGACATAAGTCGCAAGCCTAAAATATTAAGCCATAATGTATTTACCCCTCGCCCTAAACATTCGAATATGACTTTTCTTTCGCAAATAAGGGAAGCAATCTTTTTTTACAAAGCTACACCCTAAATTCCTATATATTTTAACATAAATTACAAATTACAAAAAAAAGTATGTATAAAAAATGTCAACATATTTAGGTACAAAATATGGTTTAAAATAAGGATAAACCTTTCGGTTTTCATGGGAAACTTGTATGTTACAAATATCAAAGTAAATAAATTTATGATTCTGCCGTTGGTAACGTTGGACAAGGAACTTTTGTTCCTTTTGGTATTAGAACTCGATCTCTTGGCACTAGTTGACACTAGATGTAATTGCCTTTGGCGTCGCGGTAGAGGTCATCGTTTACGTTATAGCGATCCGGGGATGATGGACAATCGACGTTGAACCACCAGTCGCACACCCTGACAGCTTGGTTGAAGACGGTTCCGTTGGGACAGAGGAAGCTGTACATCGCCCCGGACGGAAGGCACCAGTGCCACACCTAGAAAATAGAAGAATTTTTCATTATGTTTATTTGATGAAGTTATTATTAACCAAGAGTTCAACGCCTGTTTAATACATACTATAATAATCATGCACACATATTAACGACTTTGTTTTATTATTCAATTAGTAAAATAAGAAATAACATAAACTAAAAAATAATCTAAATAATAAAAAAGAAGAAATAGATTAACAACAAAATGGCTCTTCTCTGAATTAAAATAACATAGGCAAGCCCGCAAATTAGATCTGCTGTGCGGGTTAGAGTAGCCTCCCAATTCAGGCGCTTCACAATACTGCATTGTTTTAAGGCGAATTGTTGAGGGTAGACGGGTTCCCCCCATTCCGGCTGTTGGCTGCGGCATGGCTACACATGGTTTATGGCTATAAAGCCAATACAAAAAAAATTTATGAACGTTTAATTTAAGAGAATTTGGCTATTAGAATTTAATATTTTAAAGGGGCTCTGTTAAAAATCTACTGTGATTGAAGTTTTAATAATTGAATAATAGTTTGTCAAATAGATATAATTAAACCACTTGAGAAATGTGCTAGTGCGTTTGTTTGTGGTTTAAATGCGTGGTTTATGTTTTATACTTCATTAAACATTAAAACATTAAAAAAGTTAATTTCATTATATTTGATAAAATATGCTTTCATGACGCTTTTGTTCCTACTATCCTAGCTATTTTTGCATGAATGTATAGTTCTTTTTCGCTCTGTTTTTGTGAAAAAGAGTTAAAGAATTATATACATAGATAAATGGAGTGGCAAATGTATATATAGAAGATTGATATATCAAAAATTGAAATATGTAACCTCAGTCGTTGGGTATTTGATAGTTAGAAAAAGAGAGAGAGAATAAGAAATAACATAAAATAAAAAATAATATAAAGAAATAAAAAAGAAGAAATAGATTAACGACGCTCTTCTCTGAATTAAAGTAACATCGGCAACCCCGCAAATTAGACCTGTTGTGCGGGTTAGAGTAACATCGTAATTCAGGCGCTTCACAATAAAGCATTGTTTTCAGGCGAAAGGTTTATTTAAATTGTCTCATCAAAACAATTAAAAATTTTATTCGATACATTTAATTTAAGAGAATTTGGCTATTAGAATTTAATATTTTAAAGGGGCTTTGTTAAAAATCTACTGTGATTGAAGTTTTAATAATTCAATAATAATTTTAACAGTTTGGCAAATATATATAATTAAAGCACTTGAGAAATGTGCTAGGGCGTTTGTGTGTTCGTGGTTTATGTTTCATACTTCATTAAACATTAAAACATTTAAAAATTCATTTCATTATATTTGATAAAATACGCTTTTATGACGCTTTTATTCCTATTATCCTTGTTATTTTTGCATAAATGTATAGTTCTTTTTCGCTCTGTTTTTGTGAAAAAGAATTAAAGAATTATATACATAGATAAATTGAGTGAGAAATAGATATATAGAAAATTGATATATGTATCTTTTCGAGCAACCTCAGTCGTTGGGTATTTGTAGTGAGAAAAAGAGAGAGAGAATGAGAGAAAGAGAGAGAGAAAAAAAATGAAAGAGAGAGTGTGAGAAAAGTGAATAAAGTCAAAGGAGAGACAGGGAGAAACAGACGACAGAAAAATAGATAGTAGCAAAAATTAATTTTGGTTGTAAACGATAAACATTTCTTTATAATTAAAACATTAACATTGCTTGATGAACTGTTGTTTAAATTAATTATATTAAAACTATTTTAGCTAGCAAAAACGGGAAACTTTTAAAATGTTCTTTAAAAATAAACTTTTAACATTGAATTCAGTCCAAAGGCAGAGAAATTTTCAATACAAAGACAAAACTTGTAAGAGATAAATTTGTTAAGTTAAACGAACTTTAAAATAAAACAGTCTAGATTTTTTCTTATTTCTTCTCTACCTCAACAACTTAATGTGTACAAATGTCTTTTGTAAAATTTTTGTTTGAGATGCAAGTACATATTTAGTAAATTATTCGTACGAATGCACAAAACAATGATTGTTTACTTAGACAATTACGCTGGAGAGGTGTGCCGTGCGTGTTAGCGTTGCGCTTCAATGCAGGCACTTAAAAACCTAACAGCTTGTAAAATATTTTTGTCTTCTGAATATGTACAAACCAAAATATTTCTCTTCAAACCACACGTAGGAGAGATATGTTTTTAAACTCTTTTTTTTTTTTTTTAATTTATCGAATAAAGCTGGGAAGAATGAAAATATGAAACAATTAGAGTGGAAAACTACTCATTGGGAGCACTACTAATTACATTGTACTACTTTTCCCTCTAAGCAACATCATTCGACAGGAAATCTTTGGGCCATTGTCTCTCTATTTTATGTGGTGGATTTGAGAGAATTCGGTGGCATGAGAGTTGTTCAATGAGCGGATTCAGGTTGACCGGGACAGCTAGTATGGTGTTACGTGCGTAGGGTGTATTAAAAGCGTTGTAGATGGTTTCATTGGATACGGAGAACGGAGCATTCAGGATTTTTCTCTATTTTGGATTGGGTTTTTTGAATTCTTCGTATGTTGCAACGCTCGGCAAAAAATCAAAGTTCTAGGTTATTTGTCCAGGTAGGTTATATGATATTATAAATCAACGGTTTGTTAGTGAATGATATAATCTTTTGGTAAGTATTGTTGATCTCTGAACTATTTGATGATGTGAAATGTAGTCAAATAGCCCGTTTTATCCAAATCGTGGAAACACAAACAAAACCAAAAAAGTATTGTCGAAATTGTGTTGCAACGTCTCATCAATTTTAGTCTTTTAAGTCCATTATGTGAATTCCACGATAGTCTAGGTACATCTCTATGATTCGCACGTAGTTTGGTAGGGAAAATTACTGAAGTGGTAGTACCTGTGGAGGGTGAAAGTAATATGTATTGATTTGTTGAATTTAATTCTCTTAGCTCTGTACCATTACTGTAACGGGTACGGGAGGAATGGACTGGATAAGTATGAGACTATCTGGTTAAGCACGGGGATTAGGACGCACTTGTGAGACTCCGGCTTCGATAAGATGGTACAAGTAGGATCAGTGATCAGATTGAAGTAAGTCCTTAAGCAGCAACAGCAAGCCAAGATGCCACTACCATTACTCCTAAGGCCTGAGCCACGTCGAATGAGAGCTGTATTTTCCCATTTCAAGGGGAAAAGAGATTACATCTACTACGCATTGACACTGTCCTATGGTAAAAATGAGAAAGTAAAAGCTAACTGGTGATCGAGTATGAATTGCTGGGAATCTAGAATTGGTCTGTTTTAGAAGGAGCCGCTCTAGGATTTTATCTAAAGATAGACAATAATCTATTTGGTACATAAGAAGTTAATAGATGTTTTGTGTTTTTGAATTTTAGTATCATACGATGTTTTTCCAATGATGCAAAATAGAGAATTCATCAATTAATAATTACGATAAAAAATCGTTTTTAGAACCAGCTACAATTGAGACCAGCCCGCAGTTGGATTTGGAAAAGAAATATTTTAAAACTTACTTGACATTGAGCTTGAGGATCAGCATAGTAGCCCGGGGGGCGGGAGCTGCAGGAAAACATGAGACCCTGTGGCACCTCGTTGTAAGTTGGGTATTCAAGCGCTCCTTGACTTGCCTAAGCAAAGTTTAAAAAATGATTAGATTACTGTTCGCAAGAGTACTTTCGCCATAATAGAAAAAGTTTTATAATATACATTCAAATTATTTATGTTAATGAAATTTAATTATTCTGTATTATTTTTTATTGATTGAGTGATATCAAGGGGCTCTACAGATTTGGCGATAAGGCTGTTCATTTACATGAAAATGATGACGTTTCGGCTCGTTCTGAAGTTGTAACATTTTCCGAAGATTTCAACCTTATTGGTAATAAGCGACAAGATAACGGATTGCAAAAGTTTGAACTTTGAGGGAGAGTCAATAGAAGATGGATTGAAGACGTTTCCCAAATCGTGATTTACTCAAAATACTTGACCGTTGTGTAACGAGGACCAGTTTAATTAAAAAACTCGTGATATATCAGTTTTCGAATGTTTGAATTATTCAAGGTAAGTCAGCGTTACACATTTCTTAATGAAACTACTTCTTACTTCGTTTCGGATGGCATTTGTACGTATCAGTAAAACTAATCATCAAACTAATCAAAAAGAAATCTACAATAATCCACACATGGCTAATTTCAAATCATTTGAAAAATATCAATTTAGTGTCATACAAATATATAAATAAATATCATTTTTCATAAAGGATATATGTTTCAACGTATCCTTACTCTTCCTTATTATTTGACGGTTAATTCATAAAAATATCTATTTTGTTTGGATTTTCATTGTACTTATCCGTTAATCATGATATGTATGATTTCAGCTAGGTTTATAATTATCAATTAATTAACCCTACCCACTTGTGATGTGAGAATTTATGATGAACTTGAGTAACTGAAACATCCACGAATGGCAATACACAATACTAGTTAATATGTTTTAAAAATTCGTATTTAAAAAAAATATATATTCATTACAATCTGTTCTTTATTTATATTATGTAATGAGCTGGATTTACAATATTTACAAATGGCTTACGTAATGTGTCTGTGGGGAGTTACCATTGTTGTTCTCGTCAGTCGTCTGAATGGAATATAGGGGTGGTTTCTATTGGATATTGATTGGTCAACTCGAGTGGGGTGAGAGGAGACTTTATTGTGGATAGGGGAAAAAGTTTACGGATTACTTTTCACACGAGAGGGATTTTGAGGTCATTGTGATATAGTAAGGGCATTGACTATGGTTCTAAGGTCTTTGGGTTGGAAGATTGGAAGGCCGACAGTCCACCTTGGTTTCAGTATTTCCTCGTAAATAGTTTGTTGGTCCGAAACATTGCTTAGTTTCGGTTTTTAGTTTTTAGTTTGGGTATGTTGTTCCAAGTTTGCCTTGAGTCTAGGAACCCAAGGTAACGGACGCAGTCTGTTTTTGGAATGGGTGTATTATTGTGGAATATTATATGAAGGGTTTTACTTCGAAGAGTGAATGAAGGCTGCTTTTGGTTTCATTAATTTAATTAATTCATTTATATGTCAATGTTTGCTCCATTTGGCTATTTGTAGACAAGTGAGCTCTTCTGAAGGTATTGTAGGATCAGAGGATAGCACAGCTGTGTCGTTGACAAAGGATGCAAGAATGGTGGATGGTTAAGTCGGGTCATCTGCGGTGTAGAAGAGGTAAAGGATCGGTCCAAGTACGCTGCCCTTTGGTACTCCCGCTCTCAGAGGACAATAATCGGAGTAGGAAGACCTTTGGGGACTTTGTCATGAATTCTAAACATTTTTATCAGTACAATTAATTAAGGTTTTTAGTTGAAATGAAAAAAAGTCAATGGCACGAGCGGGATTCGAACCCACGATCTTCGGCTAGATACGCCGCTGCTCTACCACTTGAGCTATCGTGACCTCGATCCACTCGGACATCAACTTCCTATCTCAACCCCGCCTTATGAGTTTTCCCTCCTTTACGAAAAATGCAAAAAGGAGGGAAAACTCATAAGGTGGGGTTGAGATAGGAAGTTGATGTCCGAGTGGATCGAGGTCACGATAGCTCAAGTGGTAGAGCAGCGGCGTATCTAGCCGAAGATCGTGGGTTCGAATCCCGCTCGTGCCATTAACTTTTTTCATCTCAACTAAAAACCTTAATTAATTGTAATGTATTAATTGGTCAAGCGGACCACGAAATTAGTGAATTTTTATCAGTGTTATGACGTATTATACTTTTTTCATAATTCTAAATTTTACAATGGGCATTTTAAACTTTTGTAAGTTATGCATGTTTTATAAGTATGTAATGTGAAACATGCTGAAAAGAAAATCTTCCTCAGCAGGTGTAATATTTGTTTATAATACAAAAGCACATGCTCATAGGAACCAATTCATCATAGACATCAGGTTCCGTATGGTAATGGTTAATTTTTAATATTAACATAATAATTACTACAATATAATATAATTTGGTAATGGAGCACTTTAACTCTGCAAATAGATTTTCTGGAAGTTTTCGTTTCTTTTATGAATAAGTCATGCGAGGTTGACACACAGACACTTACTGTGGGGCTAACGCCCGTGTATACGTCTGGCATGCAAAGAGAATCCATATGTGCCGCTAATTGAAGGGGGCAATTCCTTGGTTCCATATAGAGAGCGTGTAGGAATGTCACCCGATATGAGAATTGTGCTTGCGTACGGCAGCGAATGTCTGGGTCTCCTCTTCCGATTCTTGGAAGAAATAGGGTTGTTTTATTGCACATAGTAATGATATTTTTGTGCCCCAGCGTGTGTTGAGAGTGAATGCATTTATTAGCGTGCATGTATAAGATGGCTGATGGCGGAATATGGAGTACCCCAACGACCCTCAATTAGATTAGTTATACAGGGTGACAGGCTGCTCGCGTCACACACTTTGCCACACACCTCCAGACAGGCAAGATCGATGAACCAAGGTCGATTCTCAACCCTTTCGCAGATATTCAACATTTTATGTTTTTTTGAACTATCTACGGTTTTCGTCATAAATCTACTCGTAGGTCTCGAACTATTCATTTTTGCGGAAAAAACATTGAAAAGAGCATCAAATTTCCTTTAAAAAGGCATCCTTGTAGAAATTTTAATTTAATTTTTGGTAAAAAAATTAACCACTTAATTTTTCAAAAACTGTTAAATTTAAAATTTGTAAAAAATTAAATTTGCACCCGATAAGGATCATTTAACACACAGGTAGATTTATGTACTTGTTAAATGCATAAATATTTTCTATCTCTTTCACAGGTGCTTTCAAAATCAATGAGCAATGAGAACCTTACACGGTTATCAATAGCGCCTGCATTCAAGTTGACCAACCATAGTCTTTTATTATTATTATTCCGCTTTAAAAGATATTATATTAACACGGCGTGGAGATAATTAAATCACGCCCAAAGAACAATGGACAAGTTACGTACGACGGTTATCAAGAAAAGCCAATTTCCCAAATCCAGCCTCTTGAGCAAGTCGCGATGGGAACCATTCGGTTATTAGCAGTTTACAACTCGGTCGAGTTATGAAAAGTCGAACATTGTGCCAAGTCGTGAGAACTACCCGGAAACCCGAAGAAACCCGTGGTTCTCAGGTTAAGAATACTCAACACGGCACAACACCGCCAAGTCATTGTTACAAATCCTCTGTGATAATTATTTGAAATGCCAATCGTACGTGGTGCAACGGAGGGCTTAATATCGTGCCTTTAATGGTTGACGTCAATTAAAAAACATGAGATTTTATTTATTACAAAACCGTGTTATACTTCTGTTCTCATGGGAGCCTCCATCCAATATTATGTTTTAAAATTTTGAATACTCATATTGTCTTAATTTAAAAAAATACTATTTCGGTTAAACTATCTCTTTAAACAAAATTTACTAATATAATTATTTTGGTTTAGCCAGTCGTGAATATTGAATGCTTAAGTGGGAAATACCAAACGGTTAGGTTCACTGTCTGAAAAATATTTTCTCAAAAATTGATTTTTTTACTTTGCTGTAAAGAATTTCGTCTGTTAAGGAATTACAGCGTATATTATAGAAAGAGTTAATAAGGATAATTTTCTATGACCTGCAATTTTTGTCTTAGATCTTCTAAGCTTTTTTGGGCGTTCTTGGACTTAAAATAAAAAAATATTCAAGACTCGATTATGGCTAATCCGCTTATTTACAACAACACTAACGAACAGGTTTTCTCCAGTTTTGTTGGCAAATTTTAAATACTATATCGAGAAAAAATGTATTTTGTCAACTAAATGACGAAAACTGGAGTTGTGTTCCTAAATAAAACCTATCTATACTTATGTCTGTATATTGATCAATAGTCTATTTTTCACACACACACACACACACACACACACACACACACACACACACACACACACACACACACACACACACACACACACACACACACACACACACACTGAGTGGATTACTGACAAGATGCTGTATGCGATGATTGTTGAAATAATTCTAATAATAATTGGAGTATGATTCTAGCTCCTAGCAGCCCCAAAGAAACCACCTGTCGCGAGGGCCGAGATGTACAATATTTGCAATAAATTATTAAACCAATCTGAATGCTGATCTTGACGGTTTATGAATTCAAAATTATCACACCCAACCATGGATGTAGAAATAAATTTGAAATAAAAGGAAGAAAATGTCCAAAAAGGAACAAAAGACAAGAATTGTGAAATTGAGTTAGAAAACTAGAGATGGTTGTTATCTGTGATTACTAACACAAATAACTTACAGATTTTTTTTGGATTGGATTTATACAGGCTCATATCCGCACATGTATGAATATACGAGACTTTCGCTCCACTGACATCTCCAGATTTTGTAATTTACAATAAATTATCTGTAGCCCAAAACGTACTTCTATGATATAACAACAATGTTTTGTATAACATTTTAAATAGACATAGCATCAGAATATTAATGTTAAAGAAAGATTTGTTAGTTATAAGTTTCTATTAAACCACACTTCGGTCTTGTTTTTTGTTACTCCTAAATTGATTATTTATTAAAAATGAAAATTGAGAATCTTATATTTAATCAACATTTAATAGATAATTCATTTTATAGTTATGAATTAAATACATTTAATTATTTATCAGTTTCTTTGACAGGGGCATCCGACAGCTTGGTCATTCAACCCCGAAGCTCTTACAAAATACTGCAACACACACTACACAATCACACCAATAAATACATTCATATCTATATACATTTTACGCACTCATACTGTTTGGTGAGTATTCGATATCCCTCCTGTTCCCTATAATAAATTAATCTAATTTGGGGTTGATGGGGTACTTTAAAAGTTTTCCGCCGTAGACCCAAGTCACGCATGAAGGGCGATGGAGACTTCACCATCAGTCCTCCCCATTCACACCAATAAATACATTCACACCAACATACATTAATCGCAGTCATTTTGTTTGGCAGATAGAGTACTCGATATTCCTCCATCTACCTGTCCCCTTTAATAAACTAATCTAAATTGGGGTCGATGGGGTATTTTTATAAAATTTCCGTCAACAGCCCCAGTCACTTACAACCTGAAAGGCGATGGAGAAGCTACTACACCATCAGCCTCTCCCCATTCACACCTATAAAAACATTCACTCATACAAGACACAGAAACACAAAACACATAACATAACTTCTATATACAATAAAAAATTTCCAATTCCCCAGGGGACCCTGAAACTCACTACCGTGTCCGAAAACCATTCTTAACTTCGGCGGCATGCCTACACGCTCTCTGTATGGAGCCAAGGCCTGGCACGCCTCTATTATGTGGGACACAACGAGCAACCTTTCCCTGCATAAGGCGGGCTTTGGCCCAACAGCAGATGGCTTTGTGTCAACCGCGATTTATCAGTATTATCTTAGTTTGTATCATTTATTATTGTAGAATGCTAATATTATCGTGTAGAAATGTGTGGTATTTAGCAACCGTTATTCAATGATTATTCGGAGATCGTGAGTGCGGTCTGGTGTGACGTAGGTTTTATAAAAACATTTTCTTTATCGTGCCAACGTTTCGATCTTCATTGAGATCATCTTCAGGGCCTTTAAAACAAAATTTAAATAATTTTTATAAATCCCAGGCCCTGAAGATGATCTCAATAAAGATCGAAACGTTGGCACGATAAAGAAAATGTTTTTCTAAACCCTACATAAGGGGCGTCGGTGGTCGGTGGCCGCAACGGTTTAAGCGTTGACACGGCGCTCATCACTGTAAGGTGAAGGTCCTGGGTTCGAATCCAGCGGCCCTGCATTCGAACCCGACATACTTACAAATGGGCTTTTTTTCAAAAACACCGGTACCCCGAGGGTTGATATAACCTCTGCTGTAGCGAACCCTCGTTAAAAAAAACCCCCTACATCACACCAGACCGCATCTCATGATCTGAGAATAGTTAATATTATCGTAAAATTAACCATTTTTGTATTGTTAAAAAATCCTTCTATGATAAAATATTTAATATTGTTTTATATAAACTTGTAAATAGATATAGCACGAAAATATTATTGTTGACGAAAGTTAAGTTATTTTTAACTTTCTATTCAGCTTCTGTCTTTTTTAATGTTACTCAAAAATTGATTATATTCTGAAAATCACAATTTAAAGTATTGTCTACTTTATATATAATTTTTATGGATGATATATTTAATTGTTTATAATGCTATATTTTTATATTATCTTTATCAAATGTTAACTATATAAGTAAGTTTGCAGTAATTTAGTGCAACACCAGTTGCTGTTTAGTATAAGAAGTATAAGAAAGGTCCATGAGAACTAACTTTACGTATATTTCCATAAATGAAACGTTGAAAAGTAAACAAAAAACTTTTTTTTTTGGACTTCGTAGTTGTACTTGATAACACCCGTCCTAAACTATTTCCAATAATTCTTATAATCTAAGACAAACAGGCATGCACGCACACACATATGTATATATAAGTCGGTTGCCTAAGTTCTTCATATGTTCCCAGGACCCTTGCGAGTAGGTTCGACCTTTGCGCATGCAATGGTAAATTTAATTGCCGAGATTAGACAAATAAAGAGCATCCCAGGAAGGATTGCGACAGAGAACTGTTTGCATTGTACACAAAGACGTAACAACTTTAACAACCGTACTCGCGAGAGAGCCGACCGGTCCTGATGATGAACCGGGAACGCTTTTTGAATAACAACGAGGGAACGATCAGTTCAGAAAGTGTAACAATAAGCTTTCTTCTCAAAATAACACTTTGATTTGCAAGAACTGGGTTGTTCCATATGAGCTTTTTCTAAATTCGCTGGTACAACTCACCGCCCAATGGACATAGAGGAGGGCGACGACGGCAGAAAGGGCGATTGTCCAAGATGTAGATTCCATCTGAAAAAATAAGAAAAAAGTGAATTTAATAATTTTCCATTTGTTTTTATTTTATATTTAAATGTAAGATCAAAACACAACACATCAAATAAAAAATATATTTTTATTCTTCTTCTAAGAAATATTGAATTGATTTTAAAATTAGAGATGGTTATTATGATAAATGAGCCACACTGATCCATCATAGACTCAGGTTTAATGGATCGTGAAACTTTTGTCAGCGGGCGTTCTCGTTTCGACATTTGCCTGATGATGGAACTATGAATAGTGAAACGTCCGGGGATGCTGAGTTAATGCCTTTTGTATCTGCGAACTCTGGTCAAGAGGTTACCGGGCTGAAATCCGTGGGAGAGCGGGCCCGAACGTGCATCTCCTCCTTAAACTACTCGTTAGGATGATTATTTCCCCGTTGTCCATCCGATGCTTATATAATAGACGAACATGTGCTTAAAAAAATGCTCGTTTACCTCTTCTTTTCCTACAACTGGAGTGTTTTTGCCCGTTTGGGATCGTTTCGTGAAGGATTGTGAAATTTAAGAAACAACCGCTGAGATGGATCGTTAGTAGATTCACGCGATTTAGTTGTAACTCCGAAAGTTATGTCACAATGTTTATTTTAGTTTTAAGTTGTATTCCTTTTATGCTGCTAAAGTGAACTACATATTATTATTCAAAGAGAATCATACTTTAATCTAGAAGATTTAGAAAAATATCAATTCTTCTGGTTTTTATTGCACATATTTTATATGTTGAACATAACTTACCATGTGGTTTAATTATCGTCAGTTCCTCTTACGGAAACTAAACCAACTTTGTTATTGAAATTTTACTTGTAAATTAAACGTTAACGGTTTCTAGCATGATCTTGAGCCATTGCATTTACTTTATGCTGCTAATTATCGACTTCGAACGTTTATAAATTTTTTAAATGACCCAACAAGGGTTCATTTTAATTTAGTCTCAGATAAACCTAAATTTTAAATAAACCATCAAAGGCAATGCTTGAGACGATAGTGGAAAACAGTTGTGTACAATGTGTTTGGGGAAATAATAATAAAATTAATAATAATGTGATAAGTTTAAGGGCCGACAAACAACCGAGGTCATCACCTTTACTTCGTTTTCTGGTCTTACACGCATATTTTTTAGCCTGCAGCCATTTAACCGTCTCAATCTGTTACTGACTCTTTGCTTTGATATGAAAAATAAATCGATTTTCTAAATTGCCAGCCCCTGAATCGTACTTCATATTGTCAACTGCAGAATAGATATAAAACATACAATACTTATATATACGTCACCACAAATAAAGAAGTCTGGTCAATATTCCTAGGGACAGGATCGAACCCAGTTTATTCTCTCTAATAACTTACTTTTAGACTGGAGATGTCACCTACTCGTCCAGAGTACTCAATTTCCTCGGGGCTGGGTTAAACAACCCAATCCTTTCCTAATAAATTACAGTTATTTATAACTGTTAATACTGCCCATATAACTGATTTAATTGATATTTTTGATATATATTGATATTGTACCTGGAAGGCAATTTTGTAGTTTATAAAAGAAATTTAATTTATTTGTTGTTTTTGTTTGTTCTTTGCAGTCTTTTATGTTTTAACAATGAAGCCCTGTCTAACTGTTACTTCAGAGTTAGTCAAGGCACAGCGATACCGTTTATCTATCCTATCCAAGCTGGCGTCACACAAGGGAGCATTCTTGGACCCTTCCTTTACCATAGAGCAATCTTTTCCCCATGTCAAAATCCTCAAATCAAAACCTTTTGCAGTGCCTCGACATTTGCTCCAAAAAGTGGAGAATTAAGATAACTGCAACGAAGAGCCAATACATTAACTTCTCACCCAGGCATATGACACTATCACCTGTTTAAGTTAGGATTTCACTACCCCCTTGGGACTCACCTAGACAGACGTTACACATAGTTATCACCATTCCTCGACAGACGATCCAAACTTAAGATTACAAGACCAAAGATTAAAATCACGGTTCTGAAACCTATGTGGACTTATAGTCTCAGATGGTCAACCAAGCATTCGAACTCCCATCGCATCCTATGATTCCAATCAAAAGTCCTAAAAAAAATTGTCAACCTATGTTATTATGTATCAAACCTCATCACACAGAGACTTAAATATTCCAGAAGTGATAACCTATTACGAAAAATTCCATCAATCCCTTTCCACACATCCCAATGCCTTGTCCTTCAGCTCAGTTCCACTACCATCCCAGATAATCTGTCGACTGAAACGGCGATGGTCACGTGATATCTACCTACGTAGTGACAATGAATGTAGAAAATGTGATCATTATTTATATCTTCTAAAGGAGGCTCACCCCTGGGTGAATTCTCCTCACATATTTGTCACATCAATTTTGTTCTTACAGTAATTTTACCGTTGTAATTGTTTTACAGAAAAAATAAAAAAGCCTTTGTAGCAATAAAGTAAAAACTGTTTGAACAATTCATTGTTCAAAAATTATTGAGAAATATCTAGTTCAGATACGGTGTTGACCAATTTTATGGTATATAAGAATGATGGGATTAAAAATGATCAAATTCTCAGGTATAATATAGAAAAGAAACGAAAATGCATTGCTAATTAGGTGAAAAGGGTTTTTTTTTCGATTACGAGAGAGATTTCAGCGTTCTTACGGCCAATCCTTAGCTGACGAGATGCACAACAAAGAAACAATGATCGGTTTGCCCAACTCAAAGGTGACCTTTAACGCACTCTAGCCAGATTCCGACGCGGATAGCACATAAATTAATGAAAGATATCCGTACAAGCGCTAATTGTGAATAATGAGAGGGTTGCGCCGTTCGTTATATCCAATCGGCGCCAGGTGGGGACGATTGCCAAGACGCGAACGATTTCGATCCACCGGGATGTTGTGGAGTTGAGCAAGCCAAAGCTATGGGAACCCTTCTGATGGGAACACACGCGAAACCCTTCCCCGGGGAAAAGGTTCCGTTTCACCAATGACCGCCTCGACGTCGATTCCGAACTTTGCAACACTTGCGAAACACAAGACAAGCGTGACGAGCACAGCCAGCATTGTCCGAGCCTTGCAGACAAATCATTAAGTCCGCAGATAAGATTATTGTCTGAATACCATCTCTGGAAGAGCGGCAGGAAACTTTCCAGCGGCCCTTTTACGACCGATTTTTAAGTAACAAACTCTAAAAGCAAACAGGGTGAAAACTATAACAAACCCAGACAATGTATACCAACAAAATATTTAAATCAGCGGAAACGGAAAACTTAACGAGGTTTGTGCAATATGTCATTGTTCTCCAGAAGAGACAACACAAGAAAACAAAATAATAACAAAAACAAACAAAATAACCAAGAGAGACTTAATAGTTAATAAAGTCGGTGTTTGGACTGCGAGTGGATGGAACTGTTGATTATTTCCCAGGGTCCTGAGGTGCACTGACTTCACGCCATTTTCAGTGATAATCGAAAAAGCGTGTGAGTGAACCAGCGTGACCCAATAGATTGATCAATCGGTTTTGATTAATATACATCTTAGTAGTTTGGCTTTTTTTGATCATATCGGTCTGACGATCAGGGATATAAAAAGGGTGCGGCGAAACACCAAAGCATTTACACTATCCGGCAAAAACCGAAACACATCTGGCAGACAAAAACAACGAGGATAACCCGACAAAACCGCTTATAACAGAATAAATAATGATATCCTTTGTATCAGCGAAACACAACGGATTAAAACCAAAAAACTCCAATACCGAACCGAGGCAGGGTGTATATTGCATTGTGTATTTGCTTGCATAAATACAAATTGCAAACGATTAAAAGTTCAATTTGAAATTGTAGGTGAAACCCTTATCAAAATGCCTGCTGCAGCTTTCTACGCTTTCTTGAAACATTAGAGCAAACATTTTCTGGGTCCTTTGTTGATTTAGGTCACGGCTTAATTCTGCACTTGAATTTCAACAGCTTATTTTTACGAATGCATACCTTTTATAAAACAATCATGTCAATTTTTGTGATTTTTCCCAATTTTTTATCTGGAAATTGATCGTTGCTAACGGTTAAACTTTACAAAATCAGAAGTGAAAACTTTGTAAATCTTTTTACAAACTTTGATAAAATTGGAATGTTAATACTTTAATATAATAATTACTTTAGTAATTAATAATTACGTCAATTAAATCGTTATGATGATCTCCAGAATGTAACAAGGTTTGAAGGAAAAGACTCATTTTTTAAGTCAATATGTCCTTAGATCCTGGATTAACAGTAAGATACGTTGTAAATATTAACCCAGTCACGTTTCTGGTTTCTGAGGACATGATTGAAAATTAAATTTTTCTAAGGACACATAATAAGCAAAAAACATAATCTACAGTCAAATGAGATTATATTGATATCAATTTTTTTTAAATTTTGAGAAAAACTAATGCAATACTTTAAAACGAGCTTATTTGTGCCCCTTTTTTTGCTTGATACGTGATGACAGAGATTTTTGCAAAGTTTCCACGTTATTTTGATTTTAGGTGATGAATAATTATTGACATTTATTTTCATCCCCACCCACAAGTATTTCGAAGGTTTTTATGAAAAATCTCATCATCGGAAGCGTTACTTTACATGCTGTAACTATAATCTTTCAACAGGAAGATCTTAAAAACGCCTACCATAACGAATAGCAACAACTTTAACACTGCCGGGTCAAGTGAAGTCGGAAGAAAGCTGATATTTTCTTTTCTCCTAAACAAAGAACTAACTGACCCTTTGTTTATTTTTATTTATATTTAAGTTTACTTTTTACGACTTTTAATTTCTTCTTGAACAAATAAAATGGGCACTCATTCCAATTGTAAATTCTTCTCCCTCACCAACGCTTCAAGGTTTCGTATTTTTGAAAATTACCATTGGTTCGTGTGCTGTTCGCGTGTGTCTTACCCTCAACCGGGTAAGGAAGATCCTTTCCATCCGGTGAATCCCCGACTTGCCCTTGAGTGCTATGCACGTTCATCCATGATCATTACTCAAATTAGCCGTAGCATGATGACAGAAATTAAGTTTTTGCATTTTCCAGCTAAGTTGCAAATTTTTTTATTTGACGATTTTATCCACGAAGTCGAACAAACTTATCAAAGTATGACAATTAATTAAGGCTTTTAGTTGAGATGAAAAAAAAGTTAATGGCACGAGCGGGATTCGAACCCAGGAAGTTGATGTCCAAGTGGATCGAGGTCACGATAGCTCAAGTGGTAGAGCAGCGGCGTATCAAGCCGAAGATCGTGTGTTCGAATCCCGCTCGTGCCATTAACTTTTTTTCATCTCAACTAAAAGCCTTAATTAATTGTCATGTATTAATTGGTCAAGCGGACCACGAAAGTAGTGAATTTATCAAAGTATCTTAATTCAAATTTTAATGCACTCAAATTTATATAGTCACTTTGATTTATAATGTAATAGTCGATATATATTTTTTTTAATTCAAACGGTTTCAATTTTTTGTAATGAATTCTCCTGATGATCATGTACAAAATGTACAATTATATTTGATACTTTGTTACCATTTTTCATTATATATTGCAACAAAACCAGCCGAACGATAAATCTGAAAAATTAATAATCCAAATTGATATATTTAATTTATAAAATCGTAATCTTAATCAACCCCCAGAACTTCCTGTATGAATCAAGTTGACATTTAAAGCATAAAGCTTTACCATCTAAAATAAAACCGAATCCTGCTAAATGGCATGTTGTTTAATGTGTAATATCAAATGTTTTTTTATAATTAAGTTAAAAAAATACAGCCGCAATAAATGTGAAAAATTGATAACCCAAACTACTTACACTTTTAATTTATGCAACTGTATTATTTAATAAACCCACAGAACTTTCTTTAAGTATCAAGTTGGTATTTAAAGCATAAAACTTTATCATCTAATATAAAACCGAATCTTGCTAAATGGCATGTTGTTTAATGTGTAATATTAAATATTTTTATTATAAATAAGTTAAAAAGAATACAGCTCTAATAAATTTGAAAAATTGATAACCCAACGCACTTACACTTAATTACACTTTTAATTTATGCAACTCTAATATTTAATAAACCCCCAGAACTTTCTTTACGTATCAAGTTGGCATTTAAACCATAAAACTTTACCATTTAATATAAAATTAAATCTTGGTATATTGGCGAGTTTTTTTAAAAGTGAAATATCAAATGTTTTGTTAAGTTAAAAGAAATGTTTTTGTAAAACACGGTGCGGTATTTCTAGATGTAAATTCACTCCACACTGCAGGGAAAACTAGAGAACAACAAAATATATATTATTTAAAGCAATTATAATGTTTTTGTTTATGAAATATGTATTATAATAATAAAACGTGGTTGTAGTGGGATGTTGATTGCTAAGCTAAACAAAATTATCTTGAAAAATAAATTAAATAATGTTTTCTTCTGTAAGGTTAATCATATTACGGATGTTTTTGTATAAAAATAATTATAATTAATTTTATACATTAATAATATACTCTTATAAAAAGCAAGAATCATCGGGCAAAGATGATCGGAGCCAAACCGTCACAAGTTCAACTCGAGACACCAATATTTCAAAATTAATTTATAGGTGAAAAGTATATATATTGTTAAAAAATCTGATGGTACTATAAGCTAGTTGTTATTGCTGTTAAATTCTGTGTTAATAAAGCGTGCTGTTAATTTTCAATTGAAGTGTTAAACTATATATCAGGTGTCAAAGAAGTATACTCAATTTTCAGAAGATGCAGATATAACTTTTACTAACGTATTAATAATGTGGGTTCGAATCCCGCTCGTGACATTAACTTTTTCATTTCAACCAAAGCCTTACATACAAAGATTAATTAATTGAAAGTAGTAATTTGGTCAATAGAACAGTAAATACAATGGACATATTAATAATGCTGATAAAATGTAAGATTATATTTTATATCATAGATTTGGAAAGCTTTAATTTTTAAATAAGTCAAAAGTGAAGAATTGATACATTTAGTACTAGTAATGATGGTTGAGATTTTCAGCTAAAAAAAGTAATATAGCAATAAATAGAGTTTGAAAATTAACGCAGTGTAATTACAGCAGTATAGTAAAATAGGTAATACATTATTTTCTCGAGTTTCTTTCACACTTTTAATTATATTTTAATTGATTCGATCTAAATTAGAAGATGAATATAAATTTTAGACTGTCCGTACTAATCACACAAACTGAACCCGTAACGCCGGTCCTTCGTACCTCTGCTGATGTTGATTTTCCTTCTTTGTCACGTTGGCCGTCTGTCTTAAATCCAAAAATCCACAGCGGTCTGTCAGCACTGCACTGTTCACTACTGGATGCTGTTGTGTCGGATGATGACGGGAGGCGAAGACTTTTATAGCGCGAATCTCAAACGAGTGGGAGGAGGCCTTATGAGAACTCTTCCACGCCGGTGTTCCTGAAGGAAACGGCCCTTCGGCGATTTTAATGAACAGTTTTTTATTTGCAAAATGGATATACTTTGTGTCATCATGTAAGATAACTGCTTTTTTAATAACCCGTATGTTATACACTCACTGAATTAAATAAAAGCTATGAAAATTTCATTTTTAATCGCATCTTAAGCATCTTCTATCTAATAAACAATAATTATTTTGTAAACACTTTGAAATTAACTATTTTTGCACCCGTAGAACGGTTTCTACTAAAAACCCATAAATAAAGCCATTTTGATTTTATTTCACGTTTTAGAGAAGATAGAGTAAATTGTAGTTATTGATTACTGTTCTTTATTGTAATATGCAAAAAATCTTTATTTAATAAAATTAAAAAAATGGAAAACTTCGCTATTATTTTAAGTTTAAATTAGTTATAAATTTGTATTTTTCACTATTAAACAATTCCTGAAAATTGTAATCTTCAAAATCTGCCAAGCTATACGAAAAAGCATTGTAATATGTTATTACGGTTGATGTGTTTCATCGGGTGTGCATGGATGGATGCATTTTTTCGTCGTTTCATCTGAAATAAAATAAAACAAAAAAAATTGGGGGAAGAGAAGATAGAGTGAGAGCGAAAGCAAGCAGGCGAGTGAGAGGGAGAGAGTTAGAGAGTGAGAAACCGAATCTCCAATAGAACCTTTCAACCCCTTCGCCCGGCTTTCCACCCTAACCCTACCTGGAAATCTTCAACATCGGCTGAAGAGACAATGGCCTAGGGATTTGCCTCAGTAATGTACGTATGCATGTGTGTGAGGGTGTGTCACCCCCATGTTAATTTTATCATGTTACGCTATGACTTTCCAAATTTACTTATTATAACTAAATTTACATATACATATTTTAGTTGGTCCTCATAATCAAAGCATTTTTTATTTTTACGCAATTGTTTAATTATTTTTATTCAAAGTGTAAATATAACTAAAGTTGCACGTGTAAATAATAATAATATTTTTTTCAATTTTGTCATATTAATTTTATTTTCATATAATTACCGAAGAAGCGGTTATTTAAACTATCCTAAGTATTTAACGCTGCCATCAGTCTACTATACAGGGTGTTCCGCTACTCGTGTTCCAAACTTTGCCAGTAGATTCTACGTTCAAAATGGAACCAAAAAGTCCTAATTAACTATGGTCCGAATCTTAGCAGTTTCGGAGTTATTCCACTTTTTCTGATTTTTTAAGATTTCACGACCTTGCATTAAATAAACAATGATAACTCCAAAACTAACAAGTTTTGGACAAATCCGTTGATACCATTGAAATGAGCGTTAAAATTCCAATAAGATTTGATCAATACTAAACTTGTAAACGTTCGTGAAACAAGTGTTTTAGTAGCGAGAACTTTGAAAAATAATTTGTTTCAAAAATTCATTCACTACTTTCGTGGTCCGCTTGAAATTAATACATGATAATAAATTAAGGTTTTTAGTCGAGATGAAAAAAAGTTAATGGCACGAGAGGGTTTCGAACCCACGATCTTCGGCTAGATACGCCGCTGCTCTACCACCTGAGCTATCGTGACCTCGATCCACTCGGACATCAACTCCCCATCTCAACCCCACCTTATGAGTTTTCCCTCCTTTTGCCATTTTTCAAATGTCGTGTAATCGGTTTGGATTCTCGACGACAATTGAAATGGCGGCGGAGAGCTTTATTGAAGTGTACTTCATTTTTAAATCATTAATTCATTACGATAGAGGTCACGATAGCTCAGGTGGTAGAGCAGTGGCGTATCTAGCCGAAGGTCGTGGGTTCGAATCCCTCTCGTGCCATTAACTTTTTTTCATCTCAACTAAAAATCTTAATTTATTGTCATTTGTTTCAAAGTTGATAAACTTACTAAGGTGATTCTAAACTACTATTTCCAAACCGAGAGTCCAGCAAATTGCAGAAAACGTACTCCATTTAATATCCTTTTTAGTGGTTAATTTCTTTTTTAATTGCTTTTTTCAAAAATGAAAAAATTGTTGAAGGAAAGGAAAAAAACCGTGGCTGACGGATTGGTAAGGTGGAAAATTAAGAAAATTAAAACTTAAGGAAATTTTAAATGAATTTATTAAACTTTTTTTAAAATTTAGGTTAGAAACCGAAATAGTGCAAGTGTTTACATATTTACCAACACGACTGCAACTTTGATTAAAGGATTACTGTATTATTATTCTCCGGAATCAAAACGTTTTTAGTTATCTATGTGCGGAGGGTGGAGAGCATTTCGAATCAAAATTAAAAAAAAAACGTAAAAAAATAAATTCATTCAAAATTTCATTATGTTTTTTAATTTTTATTATTATTAATCTTTCCACCTTACCAATCCTTCAACCACGGTTTTTCTTTATTTCATCAATTTCTTCATCTTTGAAAAAAGCAATTGACCACTAAAAAGGATATTAAACGGAGTTCGTTTTCTGAAATTTTCTGGTCTCCAGGTTTGGAAATAGTAGTTTAGAATCACCATAGTAAATTTTTCAACTGTGAATTTTTTTAAATTCACCCTACAGAAACGCTTATTTCTCGAAGAACAAGTTTATTATTGATCACATCTTATTGGAAATTGAACGCAGTTTTCAATGGTATCATCGGATTTGTTCAAAACTTGTTAGTTGTGGAGTTATCATTGTTTATTTGAAGCCAGGTCTTAAAAACTTACAAAATCAGAAAAAGTGGAATAACTCCGAAACTGTTGAGATTCGGATCATAGTTAATTAAGACTTTTTGGTTCCTTTTTGAATGTAGAATCTACTTTCAAAGTTTGTAACACGAGTAGCCGAATACCCTCTGGAAATTTGTGGAGGTCATCAAGATTCTAAAACACATAACGAGAACAAACTATACAGACTTGCTACTAACGACAAAATTCGACTTTTCGAAAACGTTCTACTAAAAATACAATAAAACTATAGCATAAAAAAATTACCCCAGACCACGATTTGTATTCTGATAAATACCTTAAAAAATAGCCCAAGTTCACTGAGTAATGGAATAGAAAAATCAATCGAAAAAATAAAGTAATTTTACTGCTATGATGTATGCATTAATGTTTCACAGGCTTTTGAAAAGGTCTGATAGAAGGAATTACCAGAAAAATAAGCGGAATACAAAATAAAGCAGTAAGTGCATAACTAAGAGAAGATTCAAGCAAGAAGTTCAACATTCACGACTGAAAAAATGCACGCGTGCCCCAAGGGCGCATACTAGGTCCGATACTTTACTAGCTATACTATACAAGTGATTTCGGAAATCAACCATTATTACAAAAACCACAAAAGCCTTGCAATTAGATAAATCCGCGTAAATAAAAATTAAGAATCAGCTCAAATCGGAACACAAATTTCAAAATATTAAAAATATTGGACCGTATTCCTTCTATCACCAACGATGAAGCTATCATAATACAGCTAATTATCTGGGAAGACCTGCTAATTACCAAGAGATAAAAGGAATGGAAATAAAATGGAATAAAACAGGGTAAAATTAGGTTTAAGGTTAGACAACTAGACTCGTAGCTAAATACATATTAATATCTACTAATAAATATGCTATAACTACTAATAAAACACTAATAAACAGTCATGAATTAAAATTGTGTGGAGATTTGGAATTCAACTGTGAGGTTTTGCCAAACTAAGAAATAAAAAAATAAAACAAACATTTCAAAATAAAATTCTTCTAGGGGGGTGGGTTAAGGGTTGATACTGTATGTTGGTTTGCGAGTCGGTGAACTCATGCTGAACCGGCATTTGGTTACTTATTGGGTCCGTTTTCACTCGCGAGTTTACTGAGCTACTCAAACCCGTTTCGGCCTGCGCCATCTTCATTCAGCTGTCAGCACTTTGTGTTTTAGCTTTTACTGAACGCCAGCACTTCATCAGATAGATAACACGAAAATTAAAAAAAAAGCATCTTGAAATCTAATAAAACTCTAAACCAACAAAGAAATTAATAGGAATTTACGAAATTAACAATAAATAATATTCTGTTTAATGTAACAAATTCAATCTGAAATTTATAATTAAACAATATGTAAGGGATGAAATAATTTTAACAGTTTTATTGTAATATTGCCTTCATTTCTATGCGTGTTGCAATGGTGTTTTCCCCCTGCTTCCATGCTTAGATTTTATGTATGCATTCATTAAATTGCAGAGCTTCTACGGCTCACTTTAAACATAAAATATGCAATATGTCGCAATGAAGTTTTTTCACACCTATGCTAGGTTTAATTCAAGAACTTTTTCCAAGTATTTTCTGACAATTTATGTCTATTTTTTATGTTTTCTGTTGAAGACTCATACCTTTTTATGTCTCTCTTATTTAAAGAGTTTAAAAGGTCAATGAGCCCTGTGTTTTATTCATATGTATTGAATTTACAGCAAAGAGGTACAATTTTTCCGGCATGATTTCTTTCTAATATATTATTCACGATCTTTGGAAGTACTGTCGATTAAACTCTCTTGATAAATTACGGACGAGATTAATTAATTAATTAAATAGTTTTTCAACCTTGGAAACAGGATCGTATTATATATTTCTTTTAAACGAGGGCATACTTAAGGTTTTTAAATATGTAAAATAATTAAATATTTAATAATTAAATAAATATTAAATTGAATAATTTTGAAATGAATTTAAGCAATTAACGATTTTTCACGTCATACGTGGAGGTAAGCGGAAGTGCCAGCAGTTTCGAACAGTTTTTGACGGTTTTTTTCTGATTTAAGTTTGTAATTCACTTGCAGCTCTGAACTTATGACCACATTTGTTTTATGCAACGTAAAAGGAGAAAACGTTATTTTGGATACGAAAATTCATTTGGTCATGGCCAGCCCGTTTGTCCGGTTAATAAGCTCCGGCGTCTTCCTCACGACTCACGACCGTACAAAAACGAATT